CCGCGGCGCGCTCGGGCGCGGCAGACTGGTAGGCGCGGAACGCGGCGCGCGCGGCGGCGCGGGTGGCGCTGAGGTTGTCCTGCAGCGCGCGCGTGAGCGCCGCATCCAGCCGGTCCTCGTGCTGCGCGTACTCCTGAGGGTCCCAACCCTCCACGATCTGCGGGGACGGCGCGGCGCGGGGGGCGCGGGGTGCGGGGTCGGCCGGCCGCCTGTGCACAATCCGGCCCGTGCCTCGCGCGGCGCGGCAGCCCGCGGTCTGCGATGCAAAACCCCTCGCGCCATACGTGGGGTGGCCCCCGACGTCCTCGAGACCCTGGGAATTCCAAAGGGCCCGCCCCAAGCTTCTGCAGCCCCGTCAGCCCCCCAAGACCCCTCAAGCTGCGCACCTCCAGCAGGTACGCGCTGCAGCACTGCCGCAGCTTGGCGCTCTTGTCGCCCACCACGGTGTCGCACACCGACAGCGCGACCTTGGGGTGGTGGTGGTTGCGCACCAGCTCGCGCGCGCACGCGTCCGCGGCCTCGGCCACCACCTGGACCGTGATGACGAGGACCTGAATTGAATCAAAGGGGCGGGTGCGGCAGCGGAGCGATTGGGGGTCACTGGGAGCGAATGAGGCCGCAGCAAGAGGGGGGCGGCGGGTGTCGCATGGGCTCACCCAGGGCTTGCCGCGCAACGCGGCGGGGTTGCAGGCGCGGGGCTGGACGCGGCAGGCCGGCGCAGACAGGTAAAAGCGGCGCGCCGCCCCCACCTTGAAAAGGAGCGGCAGCATCGCGGCCGCAAACCCGTCGAACCTCGGCCCCAGCGCACGCGACAGCACCGCCAGCACGTGGCACGCCTGCCGCGAAACCGCCGAGCGCCTGTCGAGCAGCTGCTCGCCCATTGGGTCGCGCAGCGGGCGCAGCGCCTCGTCAAACGCGCCCTCAAACGCGGCCGCGCCGCCCTTCGCCAGCCCCTCCAGCCGCAGCATCGCCTGGATGCGCTTCTGCCAGTCCTCCGTGGTGCCGCCCACCAGCGTGGCCGTGATCTTATCCACCTCCAAGCGCAGCTCCCGCTCGTTCGCCACCACCAGCGCCTCTGCAGCCGGCAGCTCGCCCGCCACGCCCACGCCGCCAGCGTCCCCAAAGCCGCCGCGGCGCGCGGCGGCGGGCGCGGCGGCGGCGGCGGCCGTTGAGGGGCGCGTGCCCGCGCTGCGTGGGCGCTGCGGGGCCGCCTGCTTCTGCTGCTGCGGCTGCGCTTCGGACGCCGGGCTGCCGGGGCAGCTGCCATCGCCGCCAGGGGCCGCCGCGGCCCCGCCAAACGTTTTGACGAGCGCGGCGCCTGCGGGCACGGGCAACCCCTGTTCCGCCTGCCGTATGCTGCCGGCCCCCTCCGCCCTGCTTGCCGCCGTGTCGCGCTGCGCGGCCGCGTCCAGTCCGCCGCCCGACGCTGCCGTCGGCGCAGGGGCGTGGCCTAGGCGCGCGTAGATCTCACGCAGCTGCGCTGGGCGCAGGCCGTAACTGCTGACGATGTCGATCAGGCGCTCCCCTACAACGCGGTAGACCTCCTCCAGGCACTCGATCGCGGCGTCGCGCACGGCGCTGCGGGCAAGGGACGCATCGCCGCGGCCGCGTGCACTCATCTGCGGCGCCTCGTTTGCCAGCCGGTCGATACGCATGCCGCCCCGCGCCCGTCCAGCATCGCCGGTTCGCCGGCACCACCCCAACATCACCACACTTCACGCTGCCGCCAGCTGTTGGCACCACCCCCTCCACCCACAAGGACACCCCCCCCAGGCGCCCACAAGAACACTTCCCCCCCCAGGCAGCCACCACGCACCTCTCCGGATCCTCGGCCAGCTTCAGCACCTGGCCGATCACCATCTTAGGGTCTTGCGAGTCCCGCGCGCACAGCGCCGGCTCCCCCATCATGCAGACCGCCTCGGCCACGAACTGCAGGAGGCCGTGGCGCACCTTCCAGTGCTTGTGGGCCCAGAACCGCGCGAGGCGGTCCATCATCGCGTCAGGGCGCAGCACCTGGGACTGCGGGGCAGGGGGACCAGGGGTTGCTGCCTCGTGGCGCTCGGCAACCGAGGATGGGGCGTGGGCGCTGCAGTCGAACAGCGCGCCCGGGTGGCAAAGCAGCAAGGGCTGGCGGCAGCTGGGTCGGGTGGAAGTGTGCCAAAGAGAAAGCGGCGGG